AGAGTGTGCATGCAAAAGTATATTACAAGGGGGTATGACGCAATTTTTAAAATACAGGGGGAAAACGCGCAGATTTCGTATATTACAGGGGGGTTTGGTGCAATTTACCCGATGGTAAAGGGATAGCTCAGTGGTAAAGAAGAGAAAAGGCCATGAAAGAAAGTTGGATACTCTTTGTCGGCGCGCTCTCCCCAACAACCCCAACTCCTCTCGTTACATGTTCTCTGGATTTTCTTTCTTTAGAATTTCTTTTTCCTTTTTACTTTTACAAAATACAATATATAATGGGGGTGTCTATATGTACACCCCCTCAAGTGTAAAAAAGGGGTGTACACATAGCACTTTTCTTTGTGTAATTTATTAAAAGGGGGTGTACATATAGCATTGCCCTATATAATATGTGAAAGATTATATTGATATTGATTAAAAAAATATACGAAAGAGAGAGAGAAGAAAATTATTTTTAAAGTCAATCCCATTGTAGCATGTACATATAAAGCAGGGAAATGTTAAAGACCCGTTTACGGAAATTTCATAAGGATTTGTAACTGTTAGATCAATGTAACCATCAGATATAGTTCATCTAACGGTTACAATCCTCGACGGAATGATTCTGTAACAAGACCGTAGCATTTTCCATACAATCAAACAAATTTACAAGATTTTCACTCAATCAACTACATGCATGCAATCATAAGACAATGTAAATTAACAAAAAACCTAAGTAATTAAAAAAGACCATGCTAGATCAACTATACTCAACAACAATAATTAGCTGACCTTCTACATAATTGATATAATTAGAATCATGATCAAGTACACTAAAACCCACAAAAAAAAAACGCATATATATCTTCACAATAGTAAACATAATCACCCGAAAGGCGAGCTCCTCCCTTGCGGCATACCACCGGCGCTAATGGCCGTCAGAAAAGGCGACACATCGAACTTCTTATTCTCCCCAATCAAGTTATCTCCCGACAAAGTTATAGGCTTTGATTCGTAAATGTGTTCGGGAATCGGCCCACTAATATGGTCACTTGGCCTTAAGTCGACTGATAAAGACCCGACTAGGATTTTGTGGTCGTCCGAGCACGAATATTCTCCCGCCAGCGAGTCTTGCATCCTCATATCATCGGCCCAGATGAATGGGGTTTTGCCCGTGCCACAATTAGTGCTGTTGCTGTACGGGTTGGGCCTTTTCTTGGTCAAGAAATTATTATTATTATTATCATTATTATTGTTGGGGTCTTGAAGGAGGGATGGAAAATTCACGGACGGCCTGAATTCGCGGTTCATGACCAAGATGCCGGGCCCGTGCCCGAGACTGTGGGCCTTGTTGTAACGAGCCGGGGCTGCTTGTAAAGCGGCAGTCATGTTATCGTTGGAGAGCGTTTGGCAGGCCTTCTCGAGGATTGTTTGCATGTATCTGCCGTGGGCTTCAATTCTCAGTTGGAGGTGTCTCTGGACCTGTTTTTTTTAATTCATCATATACATATATAGAAAAATGCTACAATGTCGTTACGGAACCATTTCGTCGAAATTTGTAACCGTTAAATCATCATGTAACCGTCGTGAATAATTGATCTAACGGTTACAAACTTCGATGGAATAGTTCCGTAACAGGACCGTAGAATCTCCCATATATAGATTAAAATCAATTTTAATTTATTATTTAGGGTTTTTTATTATTAAGGTAAATGAGAGATTAATTAATTAAAGTTAGTTTACCTCAAGTTGCTCATGGAGCCTCCGGTTGACCTCCATTTGCATCCTAATTAAGTGCATGAGTTATACATGTGAACACTAATATTGGCATATAATTAAGACAAAAAATCATAATTTCAGAGACAAATAATTATTTTTTTTTTAACAAAACCAAATAAATTGGAGAGAAAATGTTTTTTTTTTTAATTCAATTTAGAATATCATTAACATGGCATACTCGTTCATGCTAGGGTTGATCAATCCAGGTGCCGATTGATTCTTTCGTTGGAGCTCAAAAGACACAGCTGTAATAATAAAATAAATATTAGTATTTATTTTTAAAAAATGTACAATTATTATTATTATTATTATTATTATTATTATTATTATTATTATTATTATTATTGATTAAAAAGGTGACCTATATTCTCACCATCTTTCATTGAATGGTTATGGAAATCCTTGTGCGGCTGCTTTCCAAGCCGAAATTTCTGAAAGACAAATTAACACGTAAATAATAATAAGAAAAAAAAAACAAATTAAAAATCAAATTAAAACCCCCAAAAAAAACAATTAAATTAAACTTCATTTTATGAAAAAATGAAATAAAATAAAATAAATCAATCTCAATGAATTATTATAGAAATAATAAATAATTTGGAAATTAACCTGAAGGTGGCTCTTGAGATGGTAGAGCGTGAGGCCCTTCACTTCCATAACCTTCATGATACTTTTCGGCGTCGCCTCTGTTACAACAAAATTAAAAATTAAAACGAATAATTCACGTAAATAAATTAGGAAATTGAAAAAATTAATTAATTAATTTTTTTTTTCATATATATGCATACTGTCGGGGCCTCCGAGGTGGTTAACGGCATCTACGAAGCGTTGGTGTAGCTCGGCTGTCCATCTCAGCCGGGGTTTCGGGTCGGTGGTGAGGACGAGGCCGCCCGAGTCACACATATATATATATTGTTAGCTAGTATTAGTAATAATAATTATTCTCTTTGATTATATTGTTTTCTCTCTCAGTTACTCACTCTCTGGGACTTTGGGAGAGAGATTCATAAGAAACAAAAGCCTGTGTGTGCTTTATATGGGAAAATAAAAAAGGGTTTTGTGTGTGTTGTGTGTGTGTGTGTGTGTGTTGTGAATGAGAAAAAAGGGGGACTGAATAAAGGAAATGGAAAATCTTAATAGAGTTATGCACAAGCTGTCTCTTTTGGCAGGAATTAGAAACCGCCATCTTTTATTTAACCGTAAAACGGGAGATGCTACAGTCCCGTTACGGAACTATTTCGTCGGGGTTTGTAACCGTTAGGTCATCATGTAACCGTCGGGATAGTTGATCTAACCGTTAGGTCATCATGTAACCGTTACGGAACCATTCCGTCGGGGTTTGTAATCAACTATCATCGACGGTTACATAATGATCTAACAGTAACAAACCCCGATAGAATGATTCCGTAATGAGACTGTAGCATATCCCTCTACGTAAACATAAATGTGTATACATGCAAAGTGGGGGCTTCTACATGTGCATGTAATCATGATATGGCCATTAGATGCTATACACTTTAAAGTTCCTCTTAGTTGTAGTCTAGGTCAAGGACCATTTCAAATTTAATTCAACAATTTAAAGCATTGTTTTCTTGTTCTCTTTCGCGGGACGAACCTTTTTCCGGTTATATATCATA